TTTTAGAAGCGGCTCCGGACGGTTTCGCGACTGTGATATACATGAGATTACTGTAAAATTAGTGGGTTTTTTTTTCTCAGTTTTGCAATTCTTTCTGGCTCATAGCTCTCGATAGCGAAAAACCGCTATTACCAAATTGTGATATGTTGTAGAGCAAAAAACTTTGCACAAAGTTTATCCTTTTGTAGAAATTTAAAGACATTTTTTCTTTCTATGTTTTTTTGAAATCTTATTTTTATTGTATCTTTGTGTATTTTTACCATAATTAAATTATTTAGCATGCTTTAAACGCGCAGTCATGAGAGATACGCAGGATTAAAAATCGTCAGATTCCGTTAAGAACAAGCCAAATTACAAGTCTGCAAAGGTAGGCATATCAGGCAGCAACCTAGCATATTTTGCTAATTCGAGAGGTGTAACTTGGCCGAGAATTCACTTTCCCAGGTTTTTCTTCAGGTTTTGTGGATAGTGGCCTAGACTCTACTAATCGGCAAAATTTAAAAAAAAATTCAGAGATATGAAAGGAAAGAAGTGTGCGATTTGGCGTGGATTGGCTCATATATATATTTATGTATATCTATACTTGTGAAACTTCCCTGTTATTGAAGTGTATCGTCCTTCATGATAGTCATGCATCTGAGTTGCCAACCTTATATTGATGTATTGGGAAAGCAAATGCTCGCGAAGTAAAAGAGCTTTAAATACCCAGGAATGTTAAGAGAAATTGTAATATTTTGCACGCAGCACTTGGATGAGATACGTGAATAAGGAGCTCTATTTGTTTTCAGCAAAAACCTTAGAGTTTTTAGTGTGTTAGGAATGAAATGCGCAATTCAGCGAGGAGCAAGATCTTTTTTTAAGCTGCCGTCATATTATTACTAATTTATTTCTGTGAAGTCTGCATTTTTTTAGAGGGATGCCACCACTTATTGTCTTAAACTCTGATCCGATTCTTTATGATTTTCTGAAACTGTTGCCATTTTGGTGTCTTGAAATATTAATTTGCCAGTAGAAAACTTCACTTGAAGTGGCATCTAATATACTGAATTTTTAGTTTTTGCCTCTTAAGTTTTTTTTGATTCAATATTTTCAACCCAATTTTTCAATTCTCCTTATGGAGTTGTGGTGTACTGTCGGTAAAATCAAATTCAGCAAGGCGTTCCTACTATGCTAACAAACTAGCAAATTTGTTGCCGTTAAGTTAATAGTAACATTAAATGATGAAGCAAAATTATAAGAAAACATTTTATTTTTATATAGCGGTTTTCTGAGGTGAAGCCTTTTTTTGAACTGAAGAAACAAGGAGTAACCGACGGAGCGAGAGAGCGAGTAACAAGGGAAATTTGCACGAAACGTTTGAAATTTCAGTAGCACGTACAGTTTGAGGCTTAAAAGTCAACTTTTTTTTTGAAGGTTGACTTTCTGCATTGTGTTTTGAGATTTAGGACTGTCAGTTTATAGCTTTTGCAGGATTTTCACAGCAAGTTAGGATGCGACGCTTTTTTATAGGGTTGTCAGTTTCTTGGGTAGGAATAATCGGAATTGGAAACTGCTCCTTATAGCACTTTTATTATGGAGGGTTTACATGAGGAGGTGAAAATGCAGCATTAAGAGAAGATTAACTTGTAAGAAATGCCAAAAGGATGCCTCTTCAATTAAACTTGAATCCATACCATTACAATGCATTTTTGAATTTTCTTAAGAATTTGACAACAGAGTAATCCAAATCTTTTCTTATGTCCTTCTATAATTATAGCTGCTGCTGATTTTGGTAGCACTACTTAGCTCTATTGAGCTACTAGTGTTCTCCTAAGCCCCTACTTCAAAAGTTTCCTGGAAAAAGCTTTAAAATAAGGCGTTCATTTTTGATTGAGCTGCTTTATACAAGCCTTGTTTTCTTTTTCCAGGCGCAGTGCTTATTGGGAATTACAGCAGTCATGCCGCTGCAGAGTGGAGTGGGTATTTGGGATAGTTGTTGGTAATGATTACTTTTTTGTTTTGGTTAATTGCAAGTTGGTTAGAAACTTTTTGCCAAATCCATCGTGCAGTACGGTCAAAAAAGTGCATTCTGAGGCTCGGTGGTGACAGCAAATTCGACCTTATTGTACTAGGAGCTTGACAGGGACACGTAGGGAGCAATAGCTAGACGGAGAGAGATAGTTTTGAAAGTTTGCTGCTTGCGGGACGTCATACTTCCTGAACTTGATTATTTTTGTGGCAGCATGGGAATTAGGCTGTTTGGTTAGTTAATCTGACAATGCTTTTTTGAAAAGGGGAACTTAAAAAGAATGGAGGTTGAATGTTTCCAAACCGTTATGTTTTTAAAGTATCAATGTTATAATGAGTGCTAGAGGATTAAACGACTCGTACTCTTTTTCTTTAAAAGAAATTTTTTTGAGGGGTTCGGCAAAACAGTTTTTGCTAGTAGTTTTTTGAATGAAAAAGTAGCTCCTTTTGTCGTTGTCTCACATACACTTCTCTCTGCTTCATTCGTGCCTTTATCCGATTATGACGTTTCTAAAACTTCGGAGTAATGCATATACTTGTTACGCATAATACTTGGTAGTGGTATATTTATCAAGTGCAGTTAGCGAAGTAACATGAAGTAGGATCATATGATGTAAAAATATTGGCCTTAAAGAGAAAACTTGTCTTCAATTTATCATTGTCAGAAAGTTTGTTCGTTTAGTTTTAAAAGCAAAGCTAAATTAACGGAAGGAGTGAAACATTTCTAAAAAAAAAAATTTTTTTGTGTTTTTTCGCAAATCCCTTTTGCTTAGTCACCTTAACGGAATAAAAGTTATAGAGTATTATGAACGCTGTCAACAGCAATTTTTTTTAAATTAAGTAAAGGGTTTACAACAGTTTTCTCGAGAAACCTCTTTGACGGTGTAAGTCAGTAACTGTTACAGGTCATATTGCTTCAGTAATCGACAATTTTTGGCAACCTAAAACTGGCAAATTATTATTCATGACGCTAAACTTTACTTACGTGGAGGCCGATAACAAAAGTATGAACATAGCAGAAGACGGTTTTTTGGACCTCAGACACGTTTGAAAAGATGGCTTTTTCAAGTCCAGCAAAACTTTTGTGGATATCAAAGTTTTCGCTTTACAAGTTTTGCTTCATTTCTTTTGTAGTTCAATTACGCATCGAATATTTTGACCTGAGAGTTTAAAAATTAGGGCCAGAGATCAGACGCATTATTTTTGAATTCTAGGTTCTTCAAATAAGATATTCCATGGATGAGTCGTATTGGGGTTTGCAAAATAATAATCGCTGTTCATGTGAAGGATGCACTTTGTAATATTTTTTCTTTGCAGAAGAGCACATACAAATAACATCGTGAAACCAGTTCCGAGAAATAGACACCCAGTTATGATGAATAACGTTTCGGAATGCTGCAAAAAGCTTTTCAAATTTAGAATTGTGGCTGGTTTAAAATAATCAAGACTCTAAGTAACAACTGAATTGTTCTACTAACTTTTCTTGCATCTTGATTTACTCATTTAAGTGGTTTTTTTGGTTAGAGAGAGGTTTTAAATTACTAAAGGGAAGCCATCTTCTTGATTTACTGATGTACTTCAGTAGTTCTGGGCTTAATCAAAGTATATGTTCTGAAAGTTTTGAAGGATATATGCTTTTTTGCAGTTTACTGGAAAAACGATTAGGAATCACAAAAAACCAACTTCAAAAGATTGCAGAAAACAAATATCTTTTAATTAGAAGAACATTATGCATAAATTTCCGGCTTTAGAAGTTTTATATTGCATGCAACAGGAAATTTAGGGTGAGAACAGTTGTTTGGTAGTCAAGAAAATTTCTCTACCCTTGTATAACTTAGCGTCGAATTCACTTCTTGGTTAATTTTTTCAATCTTCTAAATTTGGCCAGATTACTATTTGGCTTAAGAAGGATATGAAGAGTTAAATGATATGGCGTGACCTCAGAGTAGCAGTTACGCTCTCAACAGTGAGGCCGTTTAATTATAGTTACATCTGTCGATTAAACATCCTTGTGGATGTACTGCGGTATTCGGATGGTGCACGGGTATTGCAATCAAGAACTACTCGTATTTTTCGTAGAATTCGTAATTGACAGATTTTTTCAAGAATTAGTATCAAACCAAGAAGCTGAATAAAAAGAGATACAAATCTTTTTTCTAAGGCTTGAGGCTAACAGAAGAGTAGTTAAAATACTCAATTCTTATGGGCACTCATGATTCTAATATTTTTTCCCTGACTTATTCACACTATCAATCACTCACTTTGCTTAAAACACTGAAGCATTTCTTTACTCACCAAGACAGCAGTTTTTTAAGGCAATTTTTGCCAGCTTGCTTACTTTCTGAATTACATCAATGGCAGCACTATTATCAAAATCCAGGTTTTTGGAAACCATGTGTGCATATCATATGTAGGAAAGAGGCCATTCCACAACTCATTCGCTTTTCAAAAAATTTTATAAACCCTTAATATTATAAACTCTTTTCGGTTTAGTAAGAATGCTTACCTGACATAAAACTATCACACCACTGAGCATCAAAATGACACCAACCACAAATAAACCAGCCATTGTCAGCACAGTGCCTTGAGAGTTTGGGGTAGTTTTGACTTGCTGCGCATCCTGAAAGAACTGAGAATCTTCCTTTCAAAGAAAAAATTTTTGTAGGTTTGTACCTAGTAGAATTATTACTTCTGAGAATAATTTTTTGGCCGTCTCTAACTGAGTGGTGGGGGAAGGACTGGCTGCTGGTGGGGGCCTTTGGTGCGGCGGTAGAAAAATGATATAGAGAGGAATTGAAAAGCAAAAATCAAGAGAAATATCTGAAAGGCTTTTTAGACACTCTGCTATATTTACAACCTTACTGTAAGCTTAATAAACAACTTTTAATTTTTATAGGTTTAGAGAATCAAAAAGTTTTCTCCTCTCTTCTTTTCTCGTTTTTAAATTTTCTATTTTGCCTGTCTCTACTGTTCAATTACTCTGAAACTTGTTTCGATTGCTCGTGCTTATTCTTCGTTGTTTATCATGCCAGTGATACAAACTTATACTCAGAAAATGATTTTTTAAGAAAACCATACTTAATTGTAAGTCACAGTGAAGATATTACGTACTAGCGCCATAAAGAAAAGCCATTATCGTATAACTGCCATCCCACCAGGCAACGGCACTTCGTGGTGCTTGCATCAAAGCGTGTGCCTTTTTTTAAATCTTTCTGTGACTTCCCTTGCACGGAATTTCTGATCCTGCTCTGTTCACTGTTGTTTTAGTCTATAACTGTTGCTTAATTTTCTCTCTAAAATTTGAACCTGCCGAGTTACAACCCCCACTCATTACAATGCATCATATTAGAAATGGTTTACGCAGCAATGGACAGGCCAGGACAATGCATACGCGATGACTAAAGCTGCAAAAATACTTATATAAATTCAAATATATGGGGAATCCTGTGTAAAAAAAGTAAGGGAAAATAAGCGCCCTCACAAATGCAACTGCCCTAAGCTTAAAAAACTTTCATCAAGCACCTCAAGTATCCAGATATCCTATAAAGGTAAGGAGCCTTATTTGAGTTCCCCTTGTTGACCTTACATTAAAAGTTAGATTCTTAAGCAACCGTCAATTTGATTTAATTCTCCTGCCCTAAACTCTAAGCTAACGTGATTCCTAAAACTCTTCTGCGGGTCGATTCCAAAGGGGGTGAGACGGATGAATGCCTTACGCCAAACAGTAGTTCTCGTCTTGTAAGGTCGTTTAGAGAGGTAAATTTAATATCTCGGTCGTCTCTGAGTGAACTTTAGTTTCTCAAAAAGCATTAGGATTTTGCCGACTCTCCGCAAAATGAGGTGAAATTACAAAAAAAGAAGTTTGTCTGTTGTTTGCAGCTGGCAAATCATACCGGTTTGCTCAAAAATTGCATAGACAGTATTGTATAAACAACACGCTTTTACTCAAGTACCTTAATTTTTCTCAATATCTTAACATTTGCGCATAACGTTCAACATTACTATACTGGAAGAAGTATCCGTGGAAAACCTTATCAAAAACTGGCGTAGGCATTTGGCGCAAAGAATCTTTTCTTCGAATTGAGTACTGTCGTTTTGGCACCAATATATTTAGATTAGAACCTGGTGACCTCTCCTGAAAATTTTATTGCATATATTTTTTGCAAATTCATAACGCTTAATGTGAGCCAGACTGTTGGCCGTTGATGACAACCTGATAAGCTTGGGCGGGACCCGGGACGGAAAGGTGGTCGTTATTGGTGTCTATCGAAAGCTGCTTTGGTTGGCTTTCACGGAAGTAAGAAGATGGTTGGTCACTAAATGACACTTCTCGCTTGTGTGAAATCATTTCCAATGCTGTACTTTCTACGCTCTGAAATAGAACAATTAGTAGAGCAGTTGTATTGCAATCATTTCATTATGCTAACATTTAAAAAGGAAAGATGTCTGACCCTTTGCAAACGAAGCAATTGAAAATTTAACCAGATTTTCGGACGAAATCCAGGATTTAAAAAAAGCAAAATTTGCATAACCTTTGAACTTTCAAAAAAATGGACTATCCACAATCACAAGAAGAACCCGTGTTCTAGGAATATTGCAGAATCCTGTAAATTGTAACATATAACTCTTTAAAACTATTGCGACAGCAACCATAAATTGTTTAGAACCTTTGTATATAAACATGTTTGTAGCTCGTTTAAAGTTATTTCTTCAAATTATTATCTTATAAATCCTTGTATATTTGCCTACCTCAAATGACAACAACGTAGTTAAACTTAAAGAACTTATGTTCTGGTGTTCTTTCTGGGGACTTCACTGGACATTGCTTTTTTTGAACGGTAATCCAGAATCACTTTAAAAAATACAACGTCCTAACGAGCTGTAAGTTCCAGATAACTATTTCCTGTTTTAATATAGTCTTTAAAGAATACGTCTTGTAACTAAAATACTCTAAAAACCTAAATGCCACGAAAACAACGGTTTTAAAGTTCAGGTTACAGTAGTTGGCACATTTTCTCCAGATTGAAGAGAGGGCACTAACTGTACTTTCCTTTAAACTATTGGACGCCCTACAAATTTCTTCTTGCTTGAAAAACTCTCTGACATAGCTCAGCAACAAGCACTAGAGCTCGGCTTATTTAAGTTACTTCCAATTTAAGCAACTGTTGTTAAAGCAGTTTGCACAATTTAATACACTTGCTCTGCTCAAAAGATTAATTCATCACGCCTTCGGCAAACCGGTTGGGCACTAAAGACTTTTTTAGATAAAAGGAAACTTAAAGCCAAGAAGGCAGCGAAAAAGTCATGAAATAAGCAACGGTTGAACAATAAGCAGCACGGGCGCTTCACATAAAACGAGAAGCAATGGTGCTAGATGCCAGCAAGCCCGTTCTGGATGTATGCGAATGCAAACAAACCACTATGTATCGATCACTAGACAAACATAAATCAGCACGTCATCTCAAACACCTGTACTTACTCCACCATACAGTCTCAACATTTTCTGCTTCTCAGTCCAGCAGCTCATATTTATAGGCGCACTCCGACAATACACTTTAAAGCTGTACTTCTCATGTTGCTAAATTTATTACGGTTAGAAAAGTACAGCTGGCGAAAGTAAAGAAATCTTCCTTTAGAGCTAGGCTTTTACACGTTACAGTCACAAAGTCTGTAGCATATTAATTTATCTCCTAACAGTTCAAAACTGCGAAAAAGTAAAAAGCAAAATGACGTAGAAAAAAATAGTTGTCAAATACTCAATAATTATTAAATTTATTGTTATGACTGCTCTTGCGGATTTAATAGACAGTTTTTACTCCATGCATTCAAAAGCAAAGCTTGCAATTTGTCCTTTCTTTACAATGTTGAGAAAAACCTCATCCTAGTTGGGTAACTTTTATTATACCTAGTAAAGTACCGCTTTATTTTAAAATTGTTATCTTCTTCTCTTCAAAAAATAATGATTGTATTGTTTTACTATTCTGTCTTGGAGGCTATAATACAGTTTATTTAATGACTTCTTAACAATTTGGTTATGTATACTTTCTGCTTTCAAAGGCATTATATTTACAAAAAAATTACAAAAAAGTTCCAGTACAATCTTAAGAAGTCATAAAGATTACTCGCTATGCATTGATCTAGCTTCTGAAAAAAAGTTAAAATAGTTTGCTTTCCAAAATAAAACACTATCCTAACGTTTAAATCTGTATCTTATTACTTCCTCAGTTCAACAAACGGGTCCAAATAAGCCCTTTACCAAAGTATCTGTTAACCTTGCAGAAGTGACAAAATTCAGCATATTTTATTAGAAAATCACGAAACGGGATGCAATTTGGCAACTTTATCCGTAAAAAATTCTTTCCTTACAATAAAGGAAAAAATTGGTAAACATCTTCATGATGGAATCATCTTCTGGTTGTGAACGTCAGTCACTGTCTCTCTTCACAAAACAGTGGGCTCATGCTTCAATCCCATGAAGCTTTTTACTTAGTGTGTAACGTCCTGCACGCTGCAGTCCTAATGCAGTTAGCTGGTTATAAAATTGTTTCGCTGCTCATTTTCTTCTTTTGTAAGTGTTTGGGCAAGTTTCGTTCCAATGCAGTGTAATTTTTGACCCATAATTCAGTTTCTTCAAAAATGCTTTCAGTTTGCCAGAAAAAGCTCAACACATGGCATTTCTCCTCAAGTAGCAGGTGAGTTTCTGGTTATGATTGGTAAAAGTTGTATCACAACTTTCCAAATAAAGTTTAGCGAGCAAAACATATGGAAACTTTTGCATATGGAGAGAGTAACAGTCGTAATTTACAGTAAAAAAGGTGTAAAATTTTTAAAATTAAGAACTTTTTCTAAAAAGATTGAAGGAATGATTTTTCAAATATATTCAATAATTAGATAAAAACAGCGGGGCTGGTATGAACATAATAGGTCCCTTGAATTCTGCTGTCACGGAAGCAGCTACTTATCAAACCTGTCTTCTTTCACTGCCTAACGAACAAGTCCCTTGCTACATCCAGTTGATACATTGAGTTCGAGTTAACTGTTATCATTAGAGCCTGCCTTTTACTCTTCAGCTTGATTTACGCGACCAGCTTAGCAAAAAACTCGCACTCAAATAGAAGGAAAAAATAATAATTACCCAATAAGTGTCCCAATTACCCAATTAAATTTGCAACAGTACGTTTATTGGGGATTCAATAAACAATGCGGCCGAAAAATCACGGTTGGCGCCGGGCAGGTCAGCTAAAGGCCAGTTTTACGATACCGCTGACGAAATTTTTTTGCTGAAAGCGTCTCCTGCGGGCATTTCTGAAATAGGTATTTCGGGAAGACACCAGTAGCTCGGCGAAACCGAACACTTTTATGCGGACGAACTTGACAGCACGAAAACTTCGGCAACTAGTTCGTAGAAACAGGTACTCTCCTTCCATCCAAAAAAGTCGATTTTGACAAACAAATCCTCATAAACCTTGACCAACATTTAGAATCCTTCAAAATTAACTAAAACCATTACTGGAAAAAACTTAGAGGAGATCTTCTGTCACTACAAGAACTACTGGTGAATCTTATGCGGTCACCTCTCAATTTTTTTAGTTTCAGCCGTATGTTATACATTGCAATTTGAAGAATAATGAAAATATTTCTTTTATTATGCACAAAAAGAACTACCAAAATAACAGGACAGCAGCTCAACTTTGCAAAATAACAACGACTGCCATTATTAATCACATGTCTATCAACTACACTTCAGAGGTAATCAAACAAAGCAGGACTGAAGTTTTAAGGCGAGGCATAAGCAACAGTAAAAACAGCGATCTCATAAGGGTAAAGTGACAAATATGAAAAAAATGAAAATTTGATATAATGAACTTGGCAAAACATTTTCTGAATTTGTACGGAAACTAACTGAACTA